TCATAATTGTATTTTGAGCGAAACTCGCAAAAAACTCGAAAATGACTTGGCCGTTTTAGCACCGTGCTCAGTAAAATCCACTTTTCTCATCGAAGACAAAGAATTTCAAAAAACTGTTCGTATACTTACTTACGATTTCGCTTTTGTTGATCTGATTTATTGCGATGTTGAGTAATACAAACGGTACGTGACGATGTGGGGCAGTTCGATAATGCTAAATGATGTGATGACGAAGACGATAATGAGGGTGGTAGCGGTTCATCATCGCTCAATATTAATTCATGTTGTGATGATGTGAGTTGTGGTTGTTGTGGAAGCGGAATCAGTGGTTCATTTCGTACATGAACTACCGGTTGTTGTTGATCATTATTATCAGATATTGTTGCTAATTCTGACGGTGGTTCATTTCGTACATGAACTACTGTCTCTTCATCATCGGATATTGCTTCTAATTCCATTGGTTGTGGTGGTTGTAATGATAGTACTAATGAGATCATTGATGCTTCATAATCGTTGACTTGCTGTAGTGACCGACGATACAATAACGGAAAAATGAGTTTTGTCACAGCAAAACAGCCATTTAATGCATAACGTTCTAATAATGGTCGAATTTCTTTTGCACCTTTAATGTATTGTTCACGATCACGACCGACTAAGCCCGTTGGTATATAGGTTTCTAATGCTAGATCAATACCACATGACCATTCGCTCAATGTCATCCGTTTATCCAACCATTGATTGAATACATGATAAATGGCGAATTGCAATGAATATTTATCATTTGGTGCATATTTATGATCCGGAGTCCTTGGATAAACACGATTGTACCATCCTTGCAATGCATCTCCCACAAATACCAATGGTTAGTTGATGCATATATAATTGAACACAGTTGTTTAATTTAATGAATTCTGGTGGTAGATATTGCACTTCATTAATGATGACAATGGATGGACGACTGACATGGACAAATTCGAAAAAACTCAGCAAATGGTGCTGTGTTTCGTAAGAATAACAACAAGTATTAACTGTAAGTACAAAGAAAAACAAACAAAATGAGAAAAGTTAAAGCTAATACTGACTAAAATCGGACTGAAATATGAATGTTGAGCGAGAGGTTTACGCATATAAACGTCTTTAATGTTGTTCCGTGAACATACGCTACGAACATACGCATAATAGAAGAAATGTTGAAAACGTCAGTGCAATTATGAGTAGACGGAGGTGAGCCCATTACATCTTAACATAAATTGAGTGAGGACAGAGGACACCACAAGGATACTTATATAGAGGCGATACACGATGACAACATAAAAAAGAGAAAGTATTGACAACAACAAGATTAATAAAAAACAGAATAATGATGAAAAAAGAGCAGAAAAGGATACCATGTAATTAGAATCATTGTGTGTCGCGAATAAATGTAATTACGATATTATATAGTTCATTCAGTTCTGTTACGTTTAAAGATGGTGCAGGTTCGAAATTTCAATAAAACTTATCACTTATTCGCAAATAATCATTCGAAACATCGATCGATCCTTCAAATGACAATTTTTCGTACCTATTGCTTGACTGGATGACATAAATCCTTCTGCCTCTATCAGAATTCAATTCTTACAAAGTACTTTCATATGTGGCCGACCTCTTTTGCCTTTCAATAGATGCGTTATAAATTTTCTGCGAATATTGAATCATCACCGCACTGAATTGCAATTGATTCGTATAGTTTTGGTCCAAGTTGGCACTGACGTTTGTCGCACTCTGTCTTTATGTCTTCTATATTTAATGTGTGTTCATCGATTGGTCGATCCATTGGTCGATTTTAAAAATAAATTCTTTTAGGTTTGATAAGAGGTGCGAACGTTTAGAGTTATCTGAAAGGGATCCTCGACTCTTCCTTTCTCATCTGACTGAAAAATCATTCGAAGTTGATGGATGTTTGCAGATAGCAGCAAAGGATTTGCAACTGACAATCACTCGATTACCGTGTCTTAGATGATGATCATCGAAGTCTATTGTGTGGAATATTTGAGTGAAGGTCCTTGCTCATCTGAGGAATTGATTTAGAGAGAGAATAAAACGAATATTTTTAATTTTTCAAGTATTATGATCGATCACTCCAATGACATTCATCCGATTTTCACCGTTGATCAACGCCGATGTATAGTAGATGACTGTGCAAAAGATCACCGGAGAAATTACTCACCGATGCTATCTATTATAAGAAAGAAGGATCATCAGCAACATGCTGTTTTTATCTTTGGAATAGATTGATTGTCTGAGATCATCGAAAGGAATAGCCTAGGGAAAGATCGATTGTTGTTCGGTTCGTGTTCGATTCTCAAAAGTGGCTGTGTGAAATAGATCGCACACATGTGTGTGTTTGGCAAGAATTTTCATTGATAAAAAGTAGTGCTCTGGCAAACCGATGTTGCCACTGGCCCACATGTTTTCGTTGTCACGATGTACATTTGATCAGAGTTTATCTTTTTTAAGTCGCTTACGTATAAATTCTATTTGTGATCAATGATAATTCATGGTGAGTACTTTATTATTAGTCCTAAATTGTAGTGAGCTTGACACTCGCTCTTTCTTGCGATAACGAAGCAGAATGAACGGAAATATTCTGTCAGTTTGAGCCCTACGAATCGATGAACCGTTGCATATTTCAATCATATTTTTGATTGATTGAGTAGAACTATGCCGACAAAAAACGTATTTCTTCAAACTATATTTTGATTGTTAGGTTCCAACAAGAGATAGCTAGGCTTGTTGCCAAACGTATCAGTTGCAATTGATAAGTTACATACATTTCTCCAGAAGGCAAAACTATATAAAACGTTATCGCATGAGTAGCAAAAGCGGAATGTCTATCTCGGAAAATGCAAATCAATATATGAAAACTGCTTGCATACAATGTGATATCTGGTTTTTATTATCAAACTTTCGAGTAGCAAGAAAAAGCAACAAAGAATAAAATTGAAACGATTTCATAGTGAATTATTATTCAGGTTGCGGAATACATCGATAATAAACTGATCCTGTGGACGGAATTTTCTTTGGATCTGCATAAATATAGATCGTATCGTTTGCCATAAATTCATGTTTCTCATCAAAATTCGATAACAGAAAATCATCCACGTTACCCTTCGTTGGTACATATTCATAAGATGAGTATCGGAGAAGAACATACGATTTGCCAACGTTTAAGTTACGTATAGTCACGATGCCATCCATCTCGGTGGGATTTTCATTATAAGCAGGGTGTGGATTCGGTTCATTCCATGCAGAAACAGACAGACGTACAGGTAATGTCACATGATCTTCGTCCAAAATGCCTGTTACAGCGATTCCATAGTCGACCTACAATTTTCTTAGACAATGACTTGCAATATTTAGAGCTTTTCGACCGACATTTGAGCGACCGACATTTGAGTAATAACGACAGTTCAGCACCAAGTGCTCACCCTCACCCATCCTTACCCTCACCCTCTACAGATCTCCAAATAATTCAGTTCATAATCGGACGACAAAAAAATTGTTCTGATCATCGTTATCGAAGTGAATAATCATTGAAAAGTGTCTAATGTCGGAGTCGCTCAAATGTCGGCCGCTCAAACGTCGGTTGACGAGTTTACTCACATCGAATGGTACACATCCACCTTCACCACAATGTTTCCGACATGTTTTTCTTGTCGCTGCCAAATCATTTTTACTCATTTTGCGTTGAATTTGTTTCTGGTGAAAGAGATTGTAGTAGATAAGCACATCCTCTGGATCGTATTGATTTTCATCTCTAAATCGAACACCGATTGCCGGCATAATATGATCATAGTCCTCTGCATGCATATAGAGGAGATAGACGATAAACATCACGGGATGTCCACGTGTGATAGATCTCTTCATCCAAGAACAGTAGTCATAAAATTGAGGTTGGGGCGAATTTTTCCAGCCCCATTCGTCATAAGTAAAATGAAGAACGGACAAAGTATGTGTTGGATTTCGAGAATCATCAGTGGATACTTTTTGCAGGAGATATTCACCGTTGTTTATATTACGAACAAGTTGTTGAGAGATCCAAGCACCATAGTAAAGACCTAGAAAAATATCGCTTGACCTTTACCATCTTAGATTGGGCAATTTAAAAAAGCCGCGATCAGTTCGCGTTTTTCAAATCACGTTGAAATCGATTAAAAAGGGAGATATATTCAAATTGCTCATGTTTACCTATTCATGACGCTGTATCTCACGCTGTCAACAATTGTCCGTTCAACACAGGTTTTTCTCAAGACAAAACCAATTTCAAAAGAATGTAAAGTTGAGCACTATTGGATGGATAATAAATTACTTTAGTGTTGGAGAGGATGAACACATACATACCGAAAGCTTGTATAGCCGTTTCACCACAGTAACCGTGACCATTTTCCCATTGTAATCGAGCAGGAATGTCGAGTAGAACTGTGCGCTGAATGAACGCTTCAGAGTTTTTTTCTTCTTCACCTGTATTTATCATAAGTCGGCGTTGAAACTAGCTATCGAAGACAGTATCTAAAAATCAAATGTGCACAACCATACACATTACTGGAAACAAGACAACGTTTTGTTCTTCTCCACCTATGACAATGCCTGCAGAGACACCTGCAAAATATAAGTAATTTGTATTTGTACTTGTACTTATAGTAGGAAAAGTACAAAAATCCCCTAAACATTGTGAAGAGAACGTTCACTGATCTGACGAGGAAACCTCTCTAGGTGATAGAAAGGTTTCGAGACGAGGCTAGAAAACTCCCAGAATGATTCTTCCCTTATGTCTTTCTTCTTGAGTTATAACCATTTTATTAGGTTTGGTAGAGTATGTCAAGGACAATCGAATGTTAACATTTCGATCTAAACATTTGCCCACATAGAGGTGTAATGACCCCTATAATACACGGAAACTCTCAGCCAAAATGTATGACTCCTTCCTGAGATATTAGGTTTCTAAAAAATGCATCTTTTTTGTAAGACATTCAACGTCCAACTTTTTTTCAAATTTGATATCTTGAGAAGGAGTCATACATTTTAGCTGAGACTTTATTAAAGGGCCATTAGATCTCTATATGGGCAAATATTTAGATCGAAATGTTGACATTTGATTGTTCTTGACATACTCTACCATAGGGTGAAAACCTAATAAAATGGTTATAACTCAAGAAGAAAGACATAAGAGGATGAATCATTCTGGGATTTTTCTAGTCTCAGCCAGTTCCACTTAATGCTGCAAGTCTCATCGCAAAAGTTTTCCATCACCTGGAGAAGTTCTCTCGTGAATGCTGCCAAGATAAATATTCGGTCGTTTTGCTCTCATATGTCCTTAGACATCATCAAGCTCATTAATGCGGTACTTTAGCACCGTATTCATGCGATTCGTAGCGTCTATTTATTATTTGTGTTTCTCAACGTCAGCATCGATGTTGATACTTTGTGACACGATGATCTCGAGAACTGAGCGATATCTGATGCCAGTTCCAAGTGAGAACAAACTTCCATGTTGGGAAATGTCAGAAACCTTGTTTGAGTCCTGACTAGAACTTTCGTTTTGCTCACGGAAGGTTCGGAAAACGCGAATCTTGCTATGGACTTTGTCTTTTTCGTGATTCGAGATAATAAATAAAAGTAAGAAGTAGAAAAAACGACTATTCAAGAGTTACGACTCTTTGTAATGTTGTTGACTGGCGAGAGAACATTACCAGTTGTAACCTTTATTTCATGCTGATATTTTGCCCACAAGTAGAGCTCAGTAGCGTATAAAAATCCAAATGCATTTGGACAACGACAGAAATGGATAGAAG